GATTGAGCTCGTACAGCTGAGGTAGGTAGTACAGGATCTGATTCAGGATTCTGTCCTCAATCACTGGCTTTCCAAGCTGCCTGGAGGCATGTGCCACCGCGTCCCGGAAATCCTGTCGGAGCACAAAGAGGACAGAAGCCCCTGAGAGAAGGGCCTTCAAAGCAGCAACAGCAGCACGCCCACGCACTGCCCCCTGTCACAGAAGGCAACGGGGGGACCATCTGTGTTATGTTTCTGTGCAGCTTTAAGGTGCTCTCCAGGGACAGCTTTAATCCCTTTGGTTCCACGCTGGACCTTTGCTTTCATGCTCTTGTGTGCACTAGATGGAAGCTGTTGATTATTTTCATAATGCACCCATAAAACTGTGCTGATAAAACACAGGCGGAAACAACAGGAAAAAAAGAGAAGTATTTAATATCTGCAAAGCTGCTGTGGGTCTTCAGTATCTTCCTGTTAAGCCTTGGAACAACAAGCAACAATGTCACTCCAGCTGATACAACCATAATGGTTTAAAATGGTAGTAGTTTTTTAAGTCAGCTACAGATGCCCTTGCACCTCTCAGATAAAATAATGTAGCGTCACAAAAAGTTCTAATCCGCAGCTCTTCTATACACAGGAAAATTAATATCTAACAAAAAGATATCGTACCAATACATGGGAATCATGAAATTTTAAATATTAATGATAAACCCAAAATAACCTTGGCATCTTCAAAGGATTTAGAGAGAGCAGGCAGCCCAGCTCACTTGCCTTTGAAAAGGAGCTTATTATAGTATTTTTATGCTATAACCTGCTCTCAACAGGACAGAGATCAGGCTTGCTGGTCCTCTTAAAACAACTGAAGATTAAAATCTTGGTCCTACATAAATCAGTATAACCAGGATTGTATCCATAATGAAGGTCTGTATCTACTAATAGCAGTATTTTCCCCAGTCACAGGCAAACAGATTTTAAAAAAAAGGTCAGCAATTTAGTATTTCACTTGAAAAAAATAATCAAGTACATAACAGCCTAAACTGACAAAAAGGAAGATCCAAGCTATGATGAGGTTACTGTAACGCTGTCTGTCACCTGAATTTGAAAGATGGAGGAAGACAGACAACCTGTAACAGCTCTTTTTGGCCTGTGGTCTGGGGAAACCTGACAGTCTATGGACAACCTGGAGGCAGCCTGAAAAGGGTGAGCAAACAACACACATTGCCAGGTACTACAATTAAATACGCATGGATTCCACACCTGCCTTCGGAAATGTGTAGGGTCCTCTGGCAATTACAGCACATGCAAATCACCACAGGGAGACACCCCCGAAGCTCCCTGCCTCCCACGCACATGGGGCTCTCGCAGGTCCCGGGAGCCGTCTCCATACTCCAGCGCAGCACCCGGCACTGTCCAGGACCTGTCAGATCCAAGCCTCAACTTTCTCCTGTCCTCTCCTCTCATCACACCGGTTCTTGGCCATCCCAAGCTCTCCTGGTGACCCTCCAGGTCACAGGGGCCGTGGCTGGGCAGAGCCCTGACAAGAAACTGAAAGCAGATACTGGGCATGGAGGGCAAGGTGGGGAAGGCTCTGAATGAAGTGCAGCGGAGTTAAAAACCAGATGGTGTTATTCATATGGAAATGCTCTGCTTTACATCCTCCCCGCAGACTAGTGACACATAGGTTAACTACCAGCTGCATCTTATGCATTTTCCTGACCCTGGGGCATTGCTTAACACTCAAATGATGCAGGACTGACAATGGCTGAAGCTCAGATGAGGCTTTTTATTGAGCTTCATGCAAAATTCATTTTTGTATTACCATAGCACTCCCCCCTAGTCCCCAAAATCACTCTTGCACAGAACATACTGCACACTTTGCCACGGGATGAAGCAATAATTTTAATTGACTATTATAAAGCTGCTTGCAGAACGAAAAGAAAAGCAGTTTTGTCCATAGCATAATGAAACGAGGCTTTCCCCTGACAGAACAAAGGAGGGCAGGGAGTCAGGTTTAAGCACCAGCAGATAAGACAGGAATGTCATTTGTGGCTAAGAGCGCTGAACTAACTTCTCCATATCACACCCGAAGGGGTTTCCAAACACACAGAATTCAGTTTCCCTCCGGCCTGTGGCGAAAGGCACCAGCTTCAGGAGGCTCTGGCGGGTGCCATGCAAGGCCCAGTCTCTAAAAGAACCGGCCCAAGCTCTGCCTCAACACGCCTGTCCCCCTCCACAACGGAGCAGCACGGAGGAGCCCTGCAGAGAGGAAACGCAGGGAAGGAAGATAACACCAGACTTGGAAACGATGCAAACCAGACCGCCGAGCAACAAAGGCCATAAACTTCAACACTTTTTTTTCAGTGGTGATGGTGGGTATTATCAGGTCTTCCTTACAGCAGCAGCGCTAAGCCTTCGCCCCTGGAATCATATTAAGATTTATTTATAACCTGGCAGCGCTTGCAAAGTAACCATCCTGCAAGCTGAACTAGAGATAAATGCGGGGAAGAGCTAAAGGCAGAGATCATATGCTGGGGAAGGACGGGTGGGAAAAGTTATTTCTATTTGATAACCTTATTTTTTCAGGTTATGGCAAGAATGACTGCACTCAAAGGTACCGGTCTTCTTGGAAAGCAATTTAATGTATTAAAGGACCAAAGCCTAGAACTGACGTATTTTTTCTTTTATAATTGAGAAATATGTTTATTTAAAAAGTAAATTAAAATTTTACTTCAAAGAGCAGAAGCTACTTAGAGGAGGAGAACTTCTGATATGAGTAAGTAGTGATGTAGAAATTGCAGTAATGGTAATTTAATGCTCCAACAGCTATTTCCTTCTAAAATGGAATCTGTTCGTTGCTAAACAAAAACACTGAAACACTGTTACAAATACATATATGTCATAGGAGATGATAAATAATGATAGTCTCCAATATCTATATACATGTGCAGGAAGTGATCCCTGTTTTCAGTGTACAGTACTACATAGCACTCCTGAAACACACACTGCTTTCATTAATCTCTTCTAAGGTAGTCATCTGAGTTGTCCTAGAAATTATTCTGTTGCGTAACTGTAGCAAACCTTTAAAGTGAACTGTTTATGAGATAGATTTTATAACTACAAAACGAACTTCTCAAATATACAATCTTACTTTAAAAAACCCTCTTTGCCAGGCTTTAGAATCAATACTGTCACTTCACCACTCTATTAGCAACTCTAGACAGAAATTTCAGGAGCTGTAGAACAAAAAAGAAAAGAAAAAGAAAAGAAGATATTTACACAGAATCATCCCACTTTCTTACAAGGGTAACTCTTCCCTTCATAAAAACTATACTATGCTTCTTGAAAACTGCTTTTTTTGAAGCACTTTTTTTAAGCTTCTAGCTCTACATTATATTTTTGTCCAACAGTAAACTTCCAATACCACAGCTAACTTCTTAGAATTTGTGTTTGCTTGTGCTCATGCAGCTACTTGAAGAGGACAGCCCTCACCACCGTCCCCAGGACGTGTGCTCTTGCCAATCCAGAATCACCCTTTCCTACTGCAAACAAACATAAGATGCACCCTGTGGGTACTCGCTGTCCATAACAAAATCGAGTTTAGGCAGTTTTAACTTCTTCTGAGTATATGCTGCAGATTTATTGACTACCAAAGCTTTCCCAACTTTAAATTTTAGGTTATTTGTTATGCTATGAGCATATGCTCTTGCTAGAGATGATCAACTTGAGTAGGATGCCACTGTCACTGCTTTCCCCCTCCTGGTCAGCGCATTAGCAAGTAAATGGCTGTGATATCTGAAATTATTCTGACCTTATTGTGAATCATCTGTGATCAGCCCACACACTTCCCCCTTCTTCAAGGCCCTGAGTCACAGTTTCTTTCTGTTCTTTCCACCAGAGAGTGCAGCTCAATGCAACCTGCCCCTGTTAGTCTAAGGAGCAAAGGAACAAGTCTGGTTGTAAACCAAGATATATATTAACATGACTAAACTCTCACTCAGCTGTTTATTTGATTAAGCGTTCCTTCAGGTGTCTGCATAGTTTAAGGAAGATAACTTTAAATGGATCAAATTAAACCTTTCAATAAATTTCACCAGAATAGAAAATGCTACATTATCTAAACAAGAGCACATATTTTACTCCTAAAGCTTCACCCATATTGATCTTGGATTTGTTCTCCTGGATCATGCCACCAGCAAAGAAAAACAAAATAAAACATAATCCCGTCTGCTGAAGTACAACTCCACCTAATGCACCTCGAAATAACTCAAATGTCAGCTTAATTTAAGAAAAAAATGTTTGCACTTGGATGCCTTTCAAGGAACACAAACACATCTATGAGGAGAGGCGGGAGGAGTGACAGTTTCACATCCTAGCAAAGAGCCAACAGTAAGCAAGACTGCTAGGAATACAGTTACAGAAGTTTCACGAATATATTATTTAATATCAAATGGAAATAGACAGACTTAAACATAGTAATTATAGTTCATAAAGATGAATAAATAAGGATTTTTCCTCATTTATGATGAATAAAATGGCATTTTTCAAACATAAGAAATTGCTTCTGAAAAGGCAATAAGTAACTCCACACCTTTTTCTCAGGCAGTTTCTCATGTTCACTTGTAAGCGTTTAGTAGCACAGTACAGTTAACTTTCATAATAAGCAATTATTTGACTGTGGCATATTCCTAGAATGTTATTTCAAGAAATAGATCAGGTGGCACAGCAATGCTTCCTTCCAAACCAAAATTATTTTATTAGCCTTTTTACATAAGATAACTACAGCTGCAATTTATTAGCAAATGCCTCAACAATCAGCAATAGCAAAGAACTCAAGCTAAAAAAAAAAAAAAAAAAAGCTTTTAAACAAATTAAATTGGAGTTCGCACTCCTCCGAAGTGTGCCTTCCAGGACACACAACAGAGAAGGAAAGGTTGCCTGAACTCTGATCTGCCCTGGTCCATTCAGAGGGTGATCCTGAAGTTGCCAAGAAGTTCCAGGTGCTTCCTGACAACCTCCTACTCTCTCAGACTGAGTCAGTCCTAAAGCAAGCCCTAGCAAGGTCAGCACTGAGGTGTAAGCCAGAAGAGACAGTTTAAAGGCTCAGGCACAAGTCCACAGGCCGGAGCTTCCAAGCTTCCCCCTTCCCCGGGCTCTCCCCTGTCCCTGTATGCAGGGCTCAGGCCCTGCAGCAGCAGCTCCCACCCCAAACCCCGCTTTCTTGCTGGACCAGAAACCTCACTGCCCACAGCAGGTCAATGGGGCTACTTGCTTTGAGTTTGCCACCACCTTTGCACCTTCATCCCACCTTCTCAGATGCTTTAGGCTTCTCCAGATGCTCTGCATAGTAGCACCTTAAAAACATCTCTTTCATAAATCTACGTATTTGTTACATGCCTGAACTAAGAGCACCTGCAGTACCTAGCAAGGTAACATACTAAGGCACACTGAGGAGAATATTAAGAGTTTCAGTGTATTGAAATGGGGCACTACCTTTCAGGCATTTAGTCCTTGGAAAAACACTAATAGAACGGTTGGACTAGATAATCTCTAGAGGGCCCTTTCAGCCTCAACCATTCTGTGACTCTGTGTGAATTCAGAAGGTGTAATGGAGCCTTATCTAAAGTGCCAAATCTTTACTACGGATGAAGCAGCCCAGTGTGGGGAGAACTTTGGTTTAACTTCCAGCAGTCTGTGAGAGGTTGCTTGAGTGGAAGTCAGTAACTCTGACACTAAAGCCAGTAAGTCAACATAGTGCAGTAGAAGTGGAATCAAATTGGCAATTTTATCAATCTTTACCTACTATTCATAAAAATGTAAGTGAACAAATTTAACATCCGCGATGAACATTCAAAATCTTCAAATCTACCACTCTGTGTAAATAAAGCATTTGTTCCTGTAATTTTTCTCAGCTACAGCAAATGTATTTAATAAAGAACACACACACATATACACACATTCTTCAAAAGTAGAGCCTGCTCTGACAAATCCACTTATCAAGGTTCATGCTGTGGACCAAAGGCAAAGCTGAGAACAGCATCTCCTCGACTCGCAGCCTACTGTTCTCCCTTGTTAGCCTAGGCTGAACACATATCAACAGTTACTTTGAATCAACAAGAACATTTCTAATGTGCTTGTATTTGGCAGCAGAGAACTAACATGCTGTCATGAGTTGAGCTGCGAGTTATCTGCTTAAATAAAGCAAAATACATTCTGCAGCACTGTGGATTTACACACGTGCAGACAATCTTAAGAAGTTGATACCAGACTCCCTTCCTTGACTCCCTATGCTAACTTTCCTCTCCCACGCTCCTCCT